CTGGCCATGAACTTGTAGTGATCCTCCTGCCTCAGCCTCCCAGGTGCTGGGATTACAGGTGTGCACCACCACACACAGCTCACATACTAGTACACCCTGAGCCTGTCTACTTCCCCTTTCCCCGCTTCCTCCCATCTCTCCAATCTCCAGGTCCCCTGCTCATCCTTTCAGAGAAACAGCTCTTGGATTCAGTCATCTTCTGCAGTGTTTTCTTTAGTCTTGAGTTCATTAAATGCCACTCTGATGGCTGTAATTTCCTTCCTGCTATTAGTTTCAGATTTGGATTGTTCTTGCTTTTCTAGGGCTTTGAGATGCACCACTAGGTTATTCATTGGGGTCTCTAGTCTGAGAACTTCTCTCACCAGGTCTCACAGGTTTTGCTTCCACTGCCATCTACCCTAGAGAATTTTTAATTTCTTCCCTGGCTTCTTCTGTGACCCACTGATCACTCATAAGGTATTATTTAATCTCCCTGTGTTTGCGTATTTTCTCTGGCTTCTTCTGCTGATTCCTAGCTTCATTCTGCTATGCTCCAATAGTATGGAGAGATTATTTCAACTATTTTGTATTTATTTAATCATTCTTTATGGCATTCTTTCTGGCTTACTCAATCATTCTATATGGTGTATCTTGGAAAAAGTTCCATGTGAAAGAAATGCATGTTCTGGCCAGGCATGGTGGCCCACACCTGCAATCCCAGCACTTGGGAGGCTGAGGCAGGAGGATTACTATGAGTTCAAGGCCAACTTGGACTACATAGCCAGATCCTGTCTCAAAAAAAAAAAAAAAGCATGTTCTGCTCTTGTTAGATGAGTATTCTATGTACCCTCCAGATCCACTGACTTAGCGGTGTGATTAATTGATGTTTCCTTGTTGGTTTCCATCTGGGTGACCCGGGTGACTGTGGTTTCCTGCCTCGGTGACAGAGGCCCGTGGCTGGCCCCAGCACCCGGTGTCCCACCTTCATCCTAAGCCCTGTCCAGCGAGTGCCCCAGGAGCAGGGGGCACCCCGTTCCACAGGAAAACTTGGACAGCAGCCTCCTCACCGGCCACTTACTAAACCTGCTCTACATCTTGGCGAGGAATAGGTGCCAAAGGTCTGTGAGGATGCAGGTGGGGCCGGGGAGGGGACGGGCCGGCCTGGGCAGAGGCTGCAGCATCTGCCGGGCACACAGCAGGTGCCAGCTGCAGAGGTCAAGAGAGGGCATACAGGCATGCTGGACCCTCGAGCCGCGATGTTGCCAGTGAAGGATTTGCAACCGTGGTGTGGACGTGGCCTGTGGCGGTAAAGGTCACGAGGGTGACGGAATGCCCTAAAGCTGGGTTCTGTCACTTTCTAGACGGCACGGATCCCTCAGCAGGAAAGGGCTGCAGGGCAGATTAGCTTCGCTCCATAAAACTGTTCAGACTTAAGGGAGGAATCAGGCAGGGCTCAGCAAAGTGCTACCCTGGAACAGACGCCACAAAGAGGGGGACAAAGGGACACTAACAGCTGCGGTGAGACCGGCACTGGGCACTCCAGGAGGATGGGGGCCCTTGTCGCAGGGAGGTGCAGAGCAGGGTGGCCAGGGCAGCACGGGTCAGGGGCGGCTGCCGGGCAGCACCTGTGACCCTGCTCCAAGCTGGCTGGACAACCTCAGGCAATGTGTCCCCGCCTCCACAGGTCCTGACACACCCAACGGCGTCAGATCCCCCAGGACAAAGAGGAGACGCAAGCTGCTCCTAGCTGAGGGCCCACGCACCGTGGCAACGTCTCTGTCCCCCAAATTAACTTCTAGGGCTTTCATTCCGGCAGCTTGGGCCAGGGGAGGTGGCCAGAGAGAGGGGGGCCCTCGTGAGCGCCTTGCATGTTATCAGTGCCCAGCAGAGGGGCCCCTTCCCCTCCGCCACGCGAGGACTCGGAGAGGAGATGTCATCGGCGAACAAGGAAGTGAACTCAAACCCTAACCCGCAGCCTCACCGAACTCCGAGTCCGCCCAGGCAGGCGGCAGCCTCCTCTAGAGACGGCAAAGGCTTGGCGAAGCAGCCTGAGTTTCCCTGCACCCCAGGCGCCGCGGAGGGGCTCAGAGGTGAGGCAGGGAGGCGCCCTCTACTCAGTCATCCGCAGCTCCGGTGCAAGCACAGTTCCCCCAGGAGCAAGGACAAGGGGCGCAGATGCGGGGAGGGTCACTGGGGAGACACGGCTCGCGGGACCAGCTCTCAGAACACAGCGGAGTGCCTCTCTTCTGAGGAAGGGCTGTGAACCGGCCATCATGGAAATATTTGCAGCCAGCGTTCCCACTCCGGGGTTTGGGTAGCCTCCAGAGGCACCTATGGTTCCCATCTACCAGCACACCACCTGTGCACACGCGTGTGTGTGTGTGTGTGCATGCATGCACGTGGTGCGAGAGCATTTATTTGGAAAGAACGTCAGGGCTACGCCTGGAGGACGTACAGGAATCGGAGAGGTGCAGTTAGGGGACAGAATTCTGGCCAAGGGACTGGGTGTAGCTGAGCCAGGGACGCTTGGGTATCACGTGCGGAGCCCTGGTTGATCCCCAGCACCACAATGAATTAAATTCAGCAAAACTCGAGCAGAGAGAACCCTACTGTCAGGAGGGCAGAAGGTGAGGAGAAAAGCGGGGAACAGGACCTGGGGGCGCCCAAGAGAAGCCAGGTGCCAGCACGGGAGCCTCGGCGGCTCCAGCTGTGCTGCTGGAGGCCACCTGAAGAGCCCCTCTCGACCCCGCGGCCCCAAAGCTCCCAGGGAGAGAGCCGCCTGGGGCAGGAGGACAGGGACACCCCACCCTCACTCCTGCAGCCAAGGTGGCCCAGCAGAGGAAGCTGAGAGCAGCCCCAGAGCAGCCCCCAGAGCCCAGCATCTCCGCGGCTGGGTGACCAGAGCCCCCGCCGCCCTCGTAGCTTCTACCAGCTCGGTCTGTTCCCACCCGGCACAGCCAGGCTTTTCCTAAGCGAAGAGTCCCACCCTAGCCAAGAGGTTCACTTCCTGGTTTTCCCCTTTTGTTTTCTTCATTTGAATTGTTTTAATTGTATGAGCCCGGCTTTCAGAATTTTTTGGAAGGCAAACAAGAGTACAAATGTATTTGTTTTTGAAAGACAAACCAAAGCCTGCGTCTCGTTCGGCTTCCCATGCCAGGCTCGGCATCGGAAGGGCGCGGGCTGCCGGCTCCGCCCCTGCCCTCCCGGCACCACCTGGCAGGGAGTCTCCGTCCTTAGGGGCTGCCGTGGATCCCTGTGTCCTTAGGACGCTGCGCTCTGTGGTGTCGTCACCCCAGGCAGGAGCTGGGGATGGACTTCGGCCCCATTCACACAGCACCTGCAGCCAGCTGTTTACAAGACTTCCTGGGACTTGACTCTGAGACTGGGATCTTAACTGCATATCTGTTGGCCCCGGGAGCTTGTCAGCGCGGCTGTGCGGCTCCGGGCAGCTTCGCCAGCAGGGCCGCGTGGCCCGGGCACAGAGCTTCTCTGCGCTGCAGCAGCTCGGGGTGGGGAAAGCGGGAGGCTCACAGGACCTACGCCCCGGAAAACGCCCCTGCGTGACACTCACAGAGTCCTGGGCTAAGCACCCGGTCTGCCAGTCAGCCCGGCGAGGGACTGCCCTCCGCCCCGCCAGCCTCAGCTTCTGACCTGGACACCTGCTCACCCACAGCTCAGGAGTCTCTGCCAGGAGATGGGCTCCCAGCCACTGTCTGGACCTCACTGCCACGGGACGGCCCGCTGGGCGGGAGCCCTGGAGGGGAACCCCAGAGGAGGGGCCTTCGATGCCAGGCTCCTGGGTGGGGCGGCAGGGCTGCCGGACGAGGGAGCTGTGACCGGAGCCAGGCAGAGAGTGGCAGGGAGGGCGGGCGAGAGGGCGCATTCCAAGTTCAGGAGCGTGGAACCTATGGGCAGAGGAGGCACAGCGCCGAGGACCAGCGGGGGCGGGGTGAGCTCCCGGCAGAGCGGTCTCTCCCAGCTTTCCGCCGGCCTGGCCAGAAAGCCTGATCCGGTCTGCGGGCCCTGGCTTCTCTCTTAGGGACAGACCCTGCTGCACGTCCTGGAGACCCAGGTCCCTCCTCAGCCCTGCCCACCTGAGAGCCCTGTTCACCCTCACCCTCTCTGCCAGGCGGAGGGCTGCGCCCAGGCTGCAGACTGCGACAGCGAGGCTCCCAGAGCCCCAGGGCTCCCGCTCCATGGCCGCACTCCCGTGGCCCAGGGCTGCCTGGCCTTCACCTGCGGCCAGGTGCCCAGTGAGTCCTGGGAGGGGACTCGGGGGCAGCCAGGGAAGGGGACAGAAGCAGGGCTGAGGAGGCCCCGAAGAGGGGACCCTCTCCTGTGGGGGGTGGGGAGAGGGGACCAGATGTCTCCACGGCCCCGCCCAGCTCACGCGGGAAGCGCAGGTGTGTGCAGAGGTTAGGGGTGTCGTGAGGAAACCACAAAAGTCACCAACGCGCTGCCGGCTTTGCGCCCCGAGCCCCAGCGGCAGCGGGGAGCAGCCACCCCCATGCCGCGCTAGAAAGCCGGGGGATCCACCCACCTCTGTCCGGTCCGGAAGACTCCAAGGGGTCTAAGGACAAAGGACGGGCCCCACCGCGGGTGGAGAGTGGGGAGCTCTGCGACAGCGGAAGGGGCTCCGGCGGCACAGGGGAGAGGGACCCCGGCCCAGGCCTCCCCCGGCGGGAGCCCCAGGGAGCTGAGGACCGGCCGCGGCCACGATGCCCAGGGCAAGCCCGAGACCGATCGCGCAAAAGCACGGAGGAAGTCCCGGAAAGCCTCGGGGGCGCTCGGGGTGCAGCGCGGGGTGCGGGCAAGTGTGGAGACCGCGCGGGCGGGCAGGAACAGGGGACCGGGACGGCGGGCCGGGGCGGCCGGGGCCAGAGCGGACAGAAGCCGCTGCAGGGGACCCTCACCCGCCCCGACACCTGGCCGCGGGCACCGAAGGTCGCGAGGCACCCTGGCGCCGCGCCCCGCGCCCCGACGCAGCCGAGCTCCGGACCCCGCGGGGACCCCGCGCTCACCCAGCATCTCCTTGCGCCGCTGCGTGTGCGGCTGGTCGGTGTAGACCCACTCGAAGTCGCTGCGGCCCGCGCAGTTGCCCATCCTGCGGCCGGAGCTCCCTGGCCGGCGGCGAGGCACCTGTGCCTGCG